AATTCCTTGCTGTCTGTGTAAATAATCGAAAAGTAGTCTCTTGTGACGAGGATAAGGACCATGCATAAAAGCCCGATGATGAGAGACTGGAAGACTGCAACGTAAACACTGTATTTGGTTGCCCTTGGATGCTGCAATCCGAGTTCATTTGATACACGAACACTGATAGTAACAAAAATTACTTCAGAACTTGGTCACATATAGCGCGTAGGATTAGAATTTCCAAACTCCTTACACAAATGGACTAATCTGAAAAGATCAATGTCTAACATAGTAAGAATATTGATGAGTATACATTTACCTTACAGCAGCATTCATTCCGATGAATATCATAAATTGTAGTCCGTTTACATTCATGCTGAAATAAAGATAAGAGAATTTTATAAGCAACTTTGTTTGCAGAAAAATAACAGCTAGTTTTATGCTTATAAACTTACAAATCATAACTCAGAGAGAATCGGAAACTCACCATATAGAAAGAGAGCCTACAGTTATCACAGCATTAGGAAGGTGACCAGCAAGAAGCATTATGCTCATCATGTACCAAATTTCAAGGCAAAGCATCACAGCAGAGGCAACTGAAAGACGAACAAAGGCCCATATATCCTTAAACGCTGCCCAAGTGAACCCTGTCCAAGCATCCTGGCACCAACCAAATGCATAAACAACTTGGCAAATTGCAGTCACCCATCATGCAATGTTGTAAGCTGCTGCAGCCCCTTGCAGACCCCAGCCCAACACAGGAATGAATATCCAGAGAAGCACAGCGTGTTCTATTAGAACAATAAGTCTGATCCAAGCCATAACATCAACCTTGCTTTGGGCTTGAAGGAACTTCTGAGTAGGAAAATTGATAGCCAATGAGAACAATGAGGGTATGGTAAGGATGGCAAACTTTCCTGCAAGGTTGGCTACATCATGGTCCTGTCCTAGAAGCTTTAACAATGGTGCAGCAAAGATGTAAATTGGCATGAGTACAAGACAGCTTAGCAATAGTATGATCCAAGAACGTTGCATATAGACTCCAAGCATATGAACTTGCCCTGCACCAAAAGCTTGTCCACACAATGTCTCAAGCGCGCTCCCCATACCAAGCTACAATATTGAACAACAAAATTTGAGTCCATTAAAATCCTCGAAAATTCATGCTTGCACTTTTAGTGCTGCTGACAAGTCAAGGAAGAACCTCAATCAAGAACAAGTAATACACTCTTTCAGCACTTAATAATTGTATTAACCACTGCACCAAATGATTTTGTTATCATCCAAGTTAACAACTCAATGCATTTTAGTACATTCATGTAAATCAAATATACTCTTAACAAATTATACTTTTCAAATGATAGTGTTATGTTATTCACTTACTCAAAACTTTGTATTCACTTAACAAATACTCTTTAAGTCTTTAGATATTATGTTATTCACTTATTCAAAAATTATGAGAAACTCAAAGCATTTTAGTACATTCATTTAAATATACTCTTAACAAATACTTTAATTAATTTCCTTGATGTTATGTAATTCACTTATTTAAAACTTTGTTGATCAGATATTCAGATGCACTGATGAACTTATTGACTAATTGTTTATGTGAGAGCAGGTTGGCTAGAAGATTCTTGCACCGACGGTGTCAATGGTTGCTCAATAATCATTTTTGTTATTTTGTTTAAATGATAGAAGACATAATAATCAATTAACTAGTCTAAAAACACTCTGTAATTATCTTCTAATGAAGACATAAAGCTATTACGAGTAATGACTATGAACCTGTTCTGACTTACTGAAAATTGAAAACAACTAAACTGAACTGAACTGATTGGAGCTGAACTAAATTGAACTGAATAAAGCTGAAATGAACTGTTTATAAGAGAAGGAGATTAGGAACTGATTGGAGTAGAACTGAACTGAACTTAAATTAAGGTGAAAAGAATAGGCCCTACAGGTGATCAAAGATTTAGGGAATATCTTTCACCTATCTCCTATTCCCTCTATCCCTATTTATTTTGCTTCTTTGTCAAAAGTTGAGTTAAAATTTGAAAATTTTGACCATGAGTTCTCGTTATTCAACCAGATATAATATAGTCATGTGGGATCTTGTTTAATTTGCCTCATGGTATATTTTATTAATATCAAATACAAATTTTTAATACGTGTCTTAGAGACCGCAAAGTGAAATGGGCAAAAAAAAAAATGAGGGGTAGGTATATCCGTATATACGAAATGCGAGTATAATATGATTAAAATAATGGATTTAATGATTATTACAATATAGTCATTAAAAATTATAATGAAAATTTTAATATCCTACATTCCGACATTTAAGCTGGTTTATGATTATTTGGGACAAAAGGAGTACAAATAATGTCAATTCACTCAATTGGGCTTATTTAGAAAAAAATAATTAAATGAATAAAGAGGAGTTCAAATTGGGCATTCTAATTTAATACGGCGAAACAAGATCAAATCTTTGAACTCACGTCAGCCATTTTAACATGCCACTATTTGTGTTACTTATTGTATTTTTATATGATTATTGATCACACTTAAGGCCTTGTTTGGTAAAGAGATTTTTAAAGAACTTTTAGCTTATTTTACCCAATAAGAGGTTTGATTAATCTAAAAAGCTAATTTGGTTGTTTGGTAAACTCAAAAAACTCTTTTAGAAAAAGCTTTTTATAAGAGCTTTTTAAAATTAACTTATTGAACATTTAGTTTTTTTTTTTGCTATTAAATGCACTAAAAGTCTAAAACAACTAACAATTAACGGCTATTTACCAAACGCTTTTACACAAGCAGCTAATTATAACCAGCTAGTCAAATCAGCTAATACAATCAGCTATCAACTAGTTACCGGACTAATTTTATCATTAATCATGCATACTACGGAAACAATAATTAATTAACTAACGAAGAAGAGTTGAGAGAAGGAGAAGATAATCACCAAGAAGCCGAATGCGAAGGTGTTAATGACGGAGACCGAAATAGAAATAGCAGAAAGCTCAAGTTCTCCAAGATGTCCTACAAATATGTTTGTAAGAGAATTTGTAGCGTACAAACATACAATGTTAAACACTAACGGTGTTGCTATCTTCCATAACTTCACCGTTTCTATCCAAAACACCGTTGCCGCCTCGCTTATGCTTTGCACGGCCGTGTAGTCCCCGTTTTCCACCTCCGGCCTCTCATCGCCGCCACGGTTCACCAACAACGGTGTATCGTCCATTTTTCTCTTTTTTGTTAGTTTTGTTTATATTTTCTCTTTAATTAGTGGTCAGTCTTAATAATGAAACGTACAAACTACAAAGAGGCTTTGGTTTTCATATGTTTGAATATAGGTTTGGTGAAAGGGTGATTATTGACGATATTTTCGTTGGTATGGATTTTGTATTCACGTTAGTTAATAATGTAATTTAAACAAGTATTTTAAATTTTTAATGTAATAATGTATATGCATGAATGAATGTAATTTAAACAAGTATTTAATTTTCATGTAATAATGTATATATGCATGAATTATTTGACAACTAAATTATGGATTAACGAGAGAAGCGAGGAAATATGAATTAGTATAAGTACGTAAGAAGAAAAAAAAATATAATACTATGTACTTCTTTCATTTTTATTTATTTTTTTGAATGGATGTACTTCTTTCATTTTCTTTGGCTTGCAAGTTGCAACGCCACATTATTAAAGCATGTACGGAGTATATATTTTTAGTAGGTAGAAAATAAACAAATAATTTTAACACCAAGAAAATAATTATTTTGATTAATATGTCCACTTACATCATCTGATCTCTTTCTCTAAATGTGTGTCAAAATTAAAGTTGCGTTGCAGCCTTGCAGGTAAAAGAAAGCAAGAAAGTATATATATATAAGTTATCAAATTGGTTCATTTTGTGAGAAGAGTCTGCTGATATTTTCCTTTCATACTCCGTAGTTTCTTGCTCTGTATTTTATTAAAAAAAATAATTATATGAGTATGTATTTATTTGGAGAATAACTAACACCAATAACATAATAAAGTGCTACACATTTTATGATTACTAATTTTGTGTTGAATCTTTTGTTAGGTTGAGCAACTCCATATATAATAATACGTGATGACACTAAAAAATATACGGAGTATCCATTACAAGAAGGTTTTGGACTTTTGGTTCTTGCCAGTTATGGGATTTGAACCTACTACCTACTAGTCTACTTATAACGTACTATTATTAAAATAACTTAAATAGTGCATTTACATTCAACAAAAGGTCCTATGGTCTAGTGGTCAGGACATTGGACTCTGAATCCAGTAACCCGAGTTCAAATCTCGGTAGGACCTTAGTCAAAATATTTTTGGAGTTTTACTTTTTTTAAACAGCATTATGTACTAACGTTTATAGTTTACTGCAACATATTTACATTTTGAATTATTGGTTTGGTTCGCTATTTTCATAATTCCATTGATGCTCTTAATAACCTTAAACTGTATACTACAACACGAGAAATTATTTTGAGAAGGTAAGAGAGATTTAGTCGAGGGAGTTACAAAGGTTTGATTAGCCTCATAGTCATATACAGCATAAGAAAGAATAAAACTCTTAAACATCGTAATTTTCTTTTATAATCTGAAGTATGCCAGCCATGGCAAATGGTTTATACCTCACGCTGAGTTGCAGACAAATTATGTTGCGGTGTAACTTTTAACTTAGTACTTGTATAAGTTGGCATACACCTACTATAATTCATCCGGTAACTACTATCGACTTAAACTATGCAACATGAAACTACATACTCTAGCAAAAAAAAAAATACAGGTATCACTTCTTTATGATTGTGAATTTGTGATGGTACCTACAGAAACATTACCAGGGTTCTTTCAAAAGCTGATGAGACAGGTGCATGTGCAAAACATTACCAATGGTAAATGATGTTAGACTTTCTGATATTTAGGACCTAAGACTTAGATTAAGAGGCAGGTTTCATATCTAGTGAATAAGTGGAAATTGGAACAACTTTGAAAATGCTACTTTCTACAAAACGTAGTAGCTCCTTTATATTACTCAATTGACAAATTTTAGCATGACGACTTTGAAAAACTACAGGACAGAAAATTTCATCGTTTAACAATCATAGCCTTGTCTAGAGAAGTATCATAGAAGCTCAGGGTGTGTGTGAGGAACTGAGGATATTAATTTTGAAAATCAGTCCTACTAGATTCCTTTACAATGTGATATACAGACAAAATTCATAACCTGCACAATCGTTGTCAAAGCCAAGTCTCGGACACTATATGCCTGATGATCCAACCACTAAGATGATCCCAAGAGGTTTTGAACCTCACTCTGCAACAGAGAATTTAAAGGAGGATACAGAGATCAGACAAAACAAAAACCATGAAGCTTTGGAAAGGACTTTTAACATTATAACACATGAAGTACTGAATCGAACCTCAATTTGCAGGGGGGAGGTCACAGGAGCATATCTCTCAACAACGCTTCCTTGTCTGTCCACCAAAAATTTTGCAAAGTTCCATTTAATCTCATCTACTATTACTCCGGACTTCTTTGATTTTAAATACTTGTAAAGTGGTGCTGCATTCTTCCCATTGACATCTATCTGTGGAGTTTCACAAAAGCATCTTGTAAGTTGTGTATACTCCATGGAGTTGTTGAGATTCACAAGATAGCAAAATGAAATGCAACTTAAGGCCTTAAGGAGTGGGGAGGATGGGAACTAAACAATGTGTTTCTACTCTACAAGAGTAATAGAGATCAAAGTCATCAAGCCAAGGACAAAAAGCTGCATCAAGTGCTCATCTAGGGCTTGGAGATAAGTATTTACATGTTTCTTTTTCTTTTTTTTTTTTTTTTTTACAGTTTCCAGATTACCCAGAGGACATTAATTAAGTTCATTTACCAATATACGAACGGCAAACACTTTTTAAAAAAGGTGCATTCTTATGGTAGCAATACAATCTTGCTGGTGCCAAATTGACGTCATAAGACAATTTTCAATCAGCATATAATACTTGAGCTATAGCATGAAGTCTCAGCAGGCATTGTTACGCTTAAGCAGCAATTTTCATTCTAGTAATCTTGAGTAATGACCCAAAAGACAGATCTATCTTTCAACTGTCACTAATTTTAGATGCAGGTAAACATATGATAGAAAATAAGGAAACAAATTCCAATATATTTACTAGAAGCAAATTCTTGTAAAACATGGTTAGACTGGTTCGAATCCATACAATGGTTAAACAAAAAGTAATAAAAGTTGCCATAAAAAAAGGGGTAAAATGTTAGGTTGTAGTGATTAAGTCATTAAAAAAAAATCTTGAACATGAAGTCATTACCAAATAAAATAATTAAAAACTTGAGAAAAAGGGGGTTAAAAATTAACCATTGAAAAAGAGAGACAAGTGTAAGATCTAACTAATAGATACTCTGTATTAGGAAAGTATAATATGATTTTAAAATACTACCTCCGATTTTTTTTAGTTGCAACTTGCAACTTTGGAATATTTTATATCTCACAAATAATACCCCAAAGTTGCAACTAAAAAAAAATCGGAGGTAGTATCTAAGTTTATCTTTGTACATCAGCATTACATTATTCACTACTCATAGTAAATTCTTATTTCATGCTTTCCAAGAATTCCAACTATGTGGGATATATTACCTTCTGAAATAAAGGGAATTCTGCTTTAAAAGAGGAGCAGACAGCTTCATTGATTTCTTCGTTACTTCCTGGTTCTTGCCAACCAAACTGATTACATGGGAAGGCTAAAATTTCAAACCCTATCATAAAGATGACAGCCACATCAATGTACAATTTAACCATTAGACGCTGCAAGCAAAACCTTTCAAAAACTGTTGAAGAGAAAACAAACCTTGGTCCTTGTACTTCTTATACAAAATGTTCATTTCATGATAGTTTGACTTTGTTAAACCGCTGCAAATGAAAACAAAGATCTCATATAAGCAAAATGCCAAAAGGAAAGGACTAAGTGAAAAAAAAAAAAAAAAAAAAAAAACACTGAAGTATTCACTTGTGGCAACATCATAATTAGCAGTCTTAGTTAGCACTCTAATCAAAAGACTTAAATTTTGTCACGTTGAGCTGAACCACGGGGATCAAGAGGATTTAGCCAAAATTGTACTTCCTACAAGAACACTTTTCCAATGTTGGAAATGCCAATAGATTGGGAGCAACGAACCGGGTTGTATGTTATGCCGGGCCTGTTCCTAACGCAATCACTGTGCAACTTGCTTGCAATTAGGTCTCTCTCATAAGTCATAACAGGTGACTCGTTTGGGAGCCTTAGCTCTTGGTAGAGTCTCCTAAATATGGGGGATCACATCCAATTAACAAGGAAAGAAATACACTGCTAATTTTCTATATCCAGTAGATCTCAACCATTTCAATACAATTAGTTGAACGCCTGTAAAACATAATAGTTACAGTTTTACTCGCAAAGCCAGATCAAATTTGCGATAGCAAGGTTTTCAGTGTGCCATTAATCAACTAATCGAGGGTTTTATCTTGTTTCTCAAGGCACCAAACCTTCCATGCTAGTTTGTGAATCAAGGAGAATCTTAAGACCACATTCAATATATATTGAAATTGTTAATTAAATTGTATCACATAACACTTCAGTATAAACCCTTACTTTAACCCGAATTAATATCTCATAGAGCATTAACACGTCTTACACTTATGCTCCATAAAGATTGGTAGTTTCCCTCCGCAATTAACAGCTTTAAAAAAAAAAGAAAAAGTATTACATTATGTACATCAAACCAAAATTGTTTTTGAACCTCAGAATTCCTGATTTTCTAACAAAGTAACTTTCAGCTAGACTTGATGATAAAGAGGGATTCTTTTAATTGTTCCCACAGAAAAAGATTTCAGCCTTGACCAGGATATATTATAGGCAAAGCAATTGGGACCTCGTCAGCTTAAATTGGGTCTCATCTCACGTTTCATACTTATGCAGTTGTGCACTTACCCAATAATTTTACCGCTGTAGATCGATTCAATGGTTCCTAGCACTAAATTCCTGGTTTTTGGGAAGTATGTGAATTCATACCAATTTGGTATGGTCTAAACATAAGCATTTAATTTGAACATGCAAATGTACCAAATAGAGAGAAAGCATTTCATAGTTTTCTTATCTCTTTACTTGAGAGAAATGGGTTGGCAATGAAATATGCAAAAGACTTTCACTTAAGCATCCCATATTTAAGCAACTCAAGGATTTATAATAAACATATGCGACTATGATCTACTTTTTTGTATTTTGGATTGACCATGCCGTTCTGGGAACCAAAATTGGAAGACAACAAATGATACTCCTTTATCTCTGTATTTTTTTTCCCAGAAGGATGATTTAATAAGATGGCTATACAATCAAATGATCAAATCTGACAAGTGTCAAATTAAAATCCAAATCTCTTTTCCCAAATTTCTAGGAGAAGTATAAAGTATAAACACTTGTTAGTGGGTCGCAAAATGTGTCATCAAGATGATCAATGGGCAAGCAAGTCTGCAGTGATAGTTCTACGGAATTTCAAGAGGAGAAAAGGTACATGGTAAAGCTAGATGAACTAGGACGAAGATATCAGACAAGACTTAGAGAAGAGTCCATTGCACTTGCCGCTCATTTAGTTCATGTCCCCAAGCCCATCACTTACCCTATAGCAACATCACAAATGATGAACTTTCAAAACTGATGAGTATGATGCATATATGAATTCGGAGAAACACAAATTGAACAGCACAACAATAGAGAATAGGAAGGATATAGAGGATTGCATATACCATTGGGAAGCGACATTGACAATCAGAAGAACCTTCCCCTTGTAAGTACTCAAACTCACATTTTTACCATTGATATCCTGTTAATCCACAAAAAAATCAATATCGACAAACTAAATCCGCATATAGTAAAAAATAGTGGAATCCAACTTAGTTGTTTTGAATATTTCATTATAAGGAACATTATCCTCCATAATCAAAATCAATCTACAAAGTTTCATCCCAATAAACAGCATCAATTTCTAATGTTACATTTTCATCTCACAAAACACAGCATCAAAATCAAATGATAAAGGCCACAATATCAGATAGTTTCTAATATGGCATATTGTGATCAAATAATCATCCTCAAAACACAACCACAATGCTGCTTGACATCCAATGTATTGGATTATTTTCATCAAAAAAAAAAAAAAAATCACAACTACCATTTTGCAATCAAACACAACAAAAAATGTCAAATTAACAAACAATTCTTCTATACCCAAAATTTGAACTTGGAACAAATATGAAACATACACTTAACAAAAAACCTTAAAGACAGTTGGGATTTTAAACTTCAGCACTGCAATTCACATACTTACAACATAAACATAAAAAGGGGACAAATCATAATTGTAGTTGGTAAAAAATCAGCAAAAAAAACAGACCCCAATATTCAAATGAATTAGATTGACAATTGATGATTACCTTGACAGTGAAATCATAAATAGAATTGGGTAATTCTTCAGGGGATTGTTGAGAAGATAGAGATGGGTAGATGTAAAAAAGAGTAACAGCAAAACCCAGAAAGAGGAGAGAGACCCAATGTGTTAATTTCCCAAAAGCCATCATTTGAACTCAAAGATATGAAAGTTGGTTTCTCTCTCCTCTTCTTTGATCTGGGTAATAGAAGACTGGGTAGTTGGGCACATTGAATGATCCCCCAACAATCTTCCTTGGCTTTGTTGTTCATTATTGACAAACATAACGATCTTCCTAGAAGATGAGGGTCAGTCATGAAAGCACATGCCCGGATGCCCCCGAGGGGTGTAAATGGGTCGATAACTTGAGATTTTAATAAGAGTTCGAGGCTGGGTAAAACTCTTATGTTTGTTTGTTAAATGAGTTAGCCGAGTTTAAATGGATATTTAATCTTGAAGTAAACAATTTTGAATAATATTGGTCTATTAATGTTCATGAATAAACTCGTTTATAAGATAATTCGAATGAAGTATGATATTTTTTTAAGAATTTAAGTTAGTAAGAAAAAAAAAATAATAATAATAAAAAAAAAAATATTAACAATAAATCATTGTTGAAGCTAGCTCAATTAATACACATGTCGTTCATATGAAAATTATAATGTTAGAACGATCAAGTTTGAACAAAATGTTTATCTGGGTTGTTTGGTCACCAATGTTTGATAAATATGAATAGATAGTGAATTCAGATCACCTTATCTCAATCACACACCTTATATATAGCATATTGATCGGGTATACGAGACTTTATTGTGTCAGTACCCGAACTCTCTTGAATTTAAGAGTTTGTTGCAATGAATTTTTTTCCAAATCAATAATTTGCAATGATTTAGTATATTAATGTTCCAAGTCAATATATATATATATATATATATATATATATATATATATATATATATATATATATATATATAATAGTGTATTATGTTATACTTATCAATTTGCTCTTCATATTTTTTCAAAGTCATTGTTTTGCCACTATATCTAAGTCATAGATAGCCTTTTTATACGAGTAGCTTTTGGCATAACCTTTATGACAAAGCTAATTTGATGTTATTTATTGCAATAGAATTGTATTTAACCTATAAATCTACCTCTTTACCTAAATGAAATTAAAAAAAAAAAAAGTTTTTGGTAGAGCCGGTGCCACACAACACAACTAGCCAATCTAGCCAAATTGAACAATCAACAACCTATGGCTAAACAAAACCTTAAAATTCACTGATAGTTATTAGGGTTTGAGTGAAGAAATGATAAGATTAGAGGAGACACACAATGGCGGATCCACCCTTGTGCATGGTGGGTCATGTGACCTAGGAAAATAAAAGGCTATAATATTAAACATTGCACTTATTACTTGTATATGCTCACTGGTGTAGTGGTTGAGGCATAACATTTTTAGGCAATTAACCCTTGTATATGCTCACTGGTGTAGTTGTTGAGGCATAACATTTCTAGGCAATTAACTTAGGTTCAAAACCCACTTGTAGAAATTTATTTTTTATTTATTAACTTCATCCCTCAAATCCCACCTAGCTTCTTAGTATTTTTTTTTTTATTTTTTTATTTTTTTTATTTTTTTTTTGAAGATAGGTTCTTAGTTCTCACTTGGTAACTTGTTAAAGTTTATCATTCCAAATCTTTTTGGTAATTTAATTGGTTAATTGTCATTATCCGTCACAAATCCTCCTTCTCCTCTCAGCTCCCACAAGATATTTACTATTTTTGGAGTTTTTTTTATTAGCTTTTAGAATATTTATGTATGAATTATTGATTTGTGTGTGGTCGATGGGAGTCGGTAACCCAGCACCCGTAAAATCCTGCAGGGGGCTAACTATTTATATTATATAAAAAAAAATAAACTTGATATTATTTTTTATCACAAACTTTCAAATGTGACTGGTCACATGGTGTGACCATCTTTTCGTGGGGTTACTCCGTTAATGTTATACACCTATGTTAGTGTTGTATGGGTTAATTTATTATTTAAGGGTTAATAATCAATAAGTATACTAAGATTTAAGTCTTGTTTGGCAAGTAGCCGTTAGCAGGTTGATGCAGCTAGTTATATCAAATGATTTCACTAGTTAGGCTCTGTTCTTTTGAGCTCCTGGGCAGAGCAGAGCAGATTGCAGCAGAGCAAAGCAAAACAGAGCAGATTTCAGCAGAGCAGAGCAGATTTCAGCCGAGCAGAACAGAGCAGAGCAGATTTTATTATTAATATTATTAATATTATTAATATTATTAATATTATTATTATTATTATCATCATCATCGTCGTCGTCGTCGTCGTCATCATCATTATTATTACTACTACTACTACTATTATTATTATTATTAAATATTAATTATTATTATTATTTTTTTGAAAGAAATATTTATTATTATTATTATTATTATTATTACTACTAATATTATCGCATTATTATTATAATCATTAAATTTTTAAAGTTAAATATTAATTATTATTATATTAATTATAATTATTATTAAATATTATTTAATTATTATTATTATTAAAAATTAATAATTAGTATTATATTTAAATATTAGTTATTATCTTAATATTAATTGCTATTATAAAAATCAATTATTGTTATTATAATTAATATTATTAGTTATAAGTATTATTATTACTATTAGTATAATTACTATTATTATTATTATTAATATTATTATTATTATTAAATATTAATTATTATTATTATTATTGTTATTAATAATTATTAATAATTTATTATTATTAAATATTAATAATTATTTTTTAATAATAATAATAATAACAATTATTATTAATAAATATTAAATAATATAATTAATATTTAATATTTATTATTGTTATCTATTATTTATTTATTATTATTAATTATTAATTATTATTATAATAATTTAATATTAAGTATTAATTTTAAGTAGAGCAGGGCAGAGCAGAGCAAATTGAAGCAGAGCAGAGCATTTCAGCAGAGCAGAGCAGAGCAAAGCAGATTTCAGTAGAGCAGAGCAGAGCAAAGCAGCTCTAAAGAACGGGGCCTTAGTTGTAAATAACTAATTATGTGAAAGTGTGTGATAAATAGCTGTCTATTATTAGTTATTTCAGTATATTACTAAAAGAACTAATTGCAAAAGGCTCTTAATGAGTTTTTTTTAAACCCCAAAAACTCTTTAATAAGCTATATATCCAACACTATAGTTTTTATTTTTTATTTTTTATTTTTTTATTTTTTTAATAATGATCAAACCTCTGATAGCTTAGTGATCAATAAGCTAAAAGCTTTCCAAAAACGTATTTACCAAACGAGACTTAATTTAATTCGTATAATGGGGTTACACTGGTATTATTGATTTATTATACTCCCAAATTAGTAATCACTGCATTTTTTTTTTACAATCAGCCATACTAATTACAGTAGTAATTACTGCATTTATTCTATCAGTAATTAGCTGTTCATTTTGTTAATGAGCCTGAAATAGTAAACCTCTCTAAATTCCCCATTTTGCATCCGTCTTCACCAAGGCAACACTTCCCCCAAACTCAGCCACTATCCCTACCCTCTGCCGCCGCATTTTCTCTCTCCTCCTCTTCACACCCTTCAACAATGGAGGACGTATGTGAGGGAAAAGACTTCTACTTCCCAAAAGAAGAGGAAAAAATCCTCAAATTCTGGGATGAAATCAAAGCATTCGAAACCCAATTACAAAAAACATCAAATTGCCCTGAATTCACCTTCTATGATGGACCCCCTTTTGCTACTGGTCTCCCCCATTACGGCCATCTTCTTGCTGGTACCATTAAAGATATCATAACCCGATACAAGTCTATGACGGGTCATCATGTGACCCGTCGATTTGGGTGGGATTGTCATGGTGTGCCGGTTGAACATGAGATTGATTCAATGTTGGGGATTAAGAGTCGGTCCGATGTGATTGATATGGGAATTGATAAGTATAATGAAGAATGTAGAGGGATTGTTAGTAGGTATGTTAAAGAATGGGAGGAGGTTGTGAGGAGAGCTGGGAGATGGATTGATTTTCAAAATGGGTATAAGACTATGGATTTGGGTTTTATGGAGTCAATTTGGTGGGTCTTCTCTCAGTTGCATCAGAAGGGGCTTGTTTATCGAGGGTTTAAGGTATGATTTTGTTTTGTTTTCGGGTTTTTCAGTGTTGCGGAGGGGTAGTGATGTAGATGGGATTTGATTTGTGGCCTCGGGTTTTGCTACCAAGGTTTAATGGACTATGTTAGATGATATATGCTGTTTTTGATTGTTTTGTGATGTGGGGTTTAAGGTTTTGGTTTGAATGTGAATGGTTGTGTATGCTCTTTTGATTCAATTATGTATATGATGTCTTTTGCAGGTTATGCCGTATAGTACTGGTCTGAAGACACCTCTATCGAATTTTGAGGCTAATTCTAACTATAAGGTTGGAAGCATTGTTAATTGCTTTAATTTGTCATAGTTGCACATGATTGGTTTATGTGTTGAGTTGTTTGTGTTATTGATACCATAAGTTATGCAGGAAGTACCTGATCCTGAAATCCTGGTGACTTTTCCCATTGTGGATGATCCTCATAATGCGTCCCTTGTGGCATGGACTACAACTCCATGGACTCTTCCTAGTAATCTTGCCTTGTGTGTCAATGCCAATTTTGTCTATGTTAAGGTGGGTTTTTTTGTTCTTTTGTTGATATGGACTAGCATTTCATTATGGCTTCCTAGAAATCATGCATTGCTGTATATATATATTTTGTGCAGGTGAGGAGCAAATCTACTGGTGCTACGTATGTGGTTGCAGAGTCTCGTTTGTCGCAGCTTCCTAAAGACAAAGTAAAAACCGAGAAATTACCAAATGGATCAGGCGGTGAGGCTAAGAATACTAAGTCTAAAACTAAGGGTTCCACATCTGAGAAATCTGCCTCAGAAGATAGTTCATATGAACTGTTAGAGAAAGTTCCAGGTGCATCCTTGGTGGGTCTGAAGTAAGTAATTCCTCTCTTGGCATTTTATTTTATGCGTCCTCTATTCTTACTCAAGAATTGTTTCATTTTGTTGGTAGTTGATAATACTTCATATATTCAAAAAATTTCCTGAGATGGGTTTGGCAGCATTTAGTTGTTTTAGTTCAAATCAGCTGAAAATATTTCATGAAGTTGAAAGATGCTTTAACTTATGGTTATTGGACTTTATCAAGACATCATTGTCACTGTAATCAGTGCTAAGAGTTGCTGATTGCTGTAGAATAGCTAGGCAGCCTAGGCATAACATATTCCTTTAGTTATTAGCAC